CAAAAACAGTTCATCTTTGTGATCTGAATATGCTTATAGCTTAAATGATTTATCAAGAAAATTGAAAAGCAATTTATTTTATTTTAACACAATCATTTAAAATATAAAACGTTGACATATTACTAAGATTTAGTAAACATTTTTTTTCAAATTTTTTAAAAATTAAACTTTAATGTTACGGATATTTGCCAAATATGTAATTCTATTCAATTTTTGCATTGAATTCAATATAAATTTTCTAATACATTCTAGTTCAAAATAAAATATTTTCTGTATTTTCATTATTAATAAGTGAATTATTAAAAGTACTAAAATTTATTCTTCATGCAAAGTTTTAACATGATCTAAACCGTTCTTGAAATGGTATTTAGATCTTTTGTTTTTTTTTTCTGTACATTTTTATTTACAAATATGTACGTGCACTTGTTCTAAATCGTGCTCTTAATCTACGTCAAATAATTTCACTTTATTCAGTCTTTTTTTGTGGATTTTAGGCTTTTTCTATTGAAATTTTACGACAATTAACTTAATTTTTGCTTTTTTTACTTTCTAAATCCAATTTAATTATAAAAAGTTTTCATTCTCTTCTATTCTTTTTTAATGATGTCAAGAGACCATTGGTTAGTTTAATAACAATGTACATATGTACATGTATACCTATATAATATAATAAATCTAATTGATTCAAGGATGAAGAAAAATCATTAACGCTTTTATTCCTTCACTTTCTCTCCCTTTATTTATTCCTTTTTCATTGAAATAGTTTATTAAAACATTTTTACAAAAAAAATTAAATCCGTTTTAAATAAAGTAAAAAATTTTATTCATTAACACAATCAAGTAAAACTTCCAAGTAAGCAAAAAATAAAATTCAAAGTTGAAAAAGGCTAAAATAAATTAAACGAATAGAAAATTTCATAAAATTGATATTATAGCGAATGAATAAGAAAAGAGAAAACTTTTTTCAATTAAAATTATTAAGTTTGTGGAAAGTATTTAACAAAATTTTTAATACACGAATTCCATTTCTTAAACTACGAAAAAAAATATTGCCTAATGCAATCAAATTTGATATTCTCTTCTCATAATATAGATAACTGAATAAAAAAATAGAATTACATAGAATAAAAAAATTCAAAATGTACTAAAATTTTTTTTCTTTTCTACGAAAATCCTAGCTAGTTTGTTAAAATTTGCATTATCTTCAATTTTAGACATAGTTCTATTTTACACTTTCATCAAAAGCATTACACATGCCTAAATTTTACCAGAGTTAATAAAAAACAATATAGACTATGCTTAGTACAAATACTATACTTAGTAAAAAGCAGTATTACTAAACTGAAATCTAATATAAATAGTAAATATAGTGAAAAATAGTATTACTCTTAAACATTCCAAAAATCTATAGAACAATTGGATAGAACTGAAAACAACTATCAAATATATTTGAGTGAACCTACCGATTATTATAAGTTCAGTATTAACTTAAACAAAAGAACAAACCAAAAATGGTTAAATAATTTTGTATTAAACAACATAAAACATCATCTTTTTAAATGTAAGCGAAATATGAAAATTCATCAACATTAAATCCATTATTTTTACTTAAAAGCTACATTATTATTTGATATATATGCAAAAAATTAATAAAAATATTACGAAATTTTTGCAAAAAGCTATATAACAATATGAAAATGAAATATAAAAATTATTTTAATGATAATAATAAAATCAGTCACATAAATTTTCTAAATGTTAAACGTTTTGCTCTTATAAATTTAATATAATATGTATTTAAATTTAATAAATTTATATTATTATTTTTAGATATATTTTTTTTATATTATATTATGATTATATAGAATGTATAAAGGTCATTAAAATTTAATTTTTAATTTTTCATTACTTTTTTTTAACATATTCACAAGCTTGCGATATATATTATATTATTAATCCTATATTATCAAACAATATTATAAATAATCGAAAATTGCATGCAGTCCAAAACAAAATCAAAATAACAATATTTCTTTTAATTCAATATAAAAAAAAAATATTTTAATTTTTAAAAAATTTTTATTTATACTTTATAATATATAGAAATTCATAGAAATTTTATAGGTTTTACAAAATTATACACTTATTATTTCCCTGTGTAATAAAATATTGGTATTTTTTTTTTATTATCTATCAATAAAAAATTTTATCTATAAATACAACCATTAAATGCCTAATTTTGGTTTTCAAATAATATATCTATAAGTCAAAATATTAAATATTTCACTAATTTTTTAAAAGAAAAATTAATAAGCTTTGATTCTTAATTCAAATAAATTAGTAATTTTTCATATTACTTATGACACAAAATGTGATTTTATCAATTATGGACTACACACAAATTACAAATGGTCAAAAAAATTTTATATATTTCTTTTTCCATAACACTTACGCTACAATAAGATATTTTAACTATAATTGTAGTCAATTTATCTTTCAATTAAATATATCTGCAACATGAGTTTAAGTGGCTGTATTTTGTATATTATAATTTATTTTCTTCTCGCCATAATTTTTTCATGATTTCTTTTATATCAACCTAAAATAAAAAAAAACAACGTTTTTTAAAAAAATTCAATGAAATAGCGTAAATGCAATTAATTAAAAAATAAAATAAAAACACAATTGTAAAAAATATTTTATTGAATATTGAGTATGTTATACCTCTACAATTTCATTATAAAAATTTAATACATTAAATATTACGATAATATATTGACTATTATTATATATAATTTTTTGAAAAACGGGCATTTAAAGGTTCAAACTAAACATTATTCTCATAACATATCAATTTTAAATCAAAACGGAAAAAAAAACGTAACACACACACACATATACCTTCTATAAAACCAAATCAAATAGTAAATTATCAATCAAAATTTATATAAATCAGGGTATATATTAATTGACCTGTATATTCAAAAGAATACACAATACAATAATAAACATAATAATACAAATTTTATAATAAATAAATTATATACAAACATAATATATAATATCATATTGGAAAATACATTATATACAATATACACCAATTGTATGATAAACCCTCTCTCAGTACCTTCAAATTATATACACACCAGTTTTACTAAATATACTAAAATTTAAAAAAAAAAAACAATAAAACAAAAAAAAAAAACGAAATAAAATGTGTATATGTACTTCAAAAATAAAAAGTAAATACAAAATTAAAACTACAACATTACATTTATATATATACTAACACTAAATTTATTATTACTTACATAATATTAATTGTTCAAAAAAGCTACGCATTTATTTACAATAATTTTTTATATAAATTTGAATAGAAGCATATTAATATATAAAATATTAAAATTAAATTAAAAATTTTATAATGCAATTTATATAAAAAAAAAATTATTAAATATTATAATTATTTATATGTTGTATATGTATTACGAATAATAATCTAACTACTTATACTTTTTTTATTTTTCGTTTAACATTATTTATGTATTTAATTATTAAAACTTGTTTTATCATTTTTATAGTACGCTTTTTATATTAAGAAGATTTATTATTTTTAATGAAAATAAAAAAAAATATTATTTAAGAAAAATAATATGAAATTCATAAATAAAGTATATTATATTGTATGAAAAAAAAATAACAAAAAAGCAAAACTAAATATATTTAATAATATACAAAAAAAAAATAAAATCAATCATTTTTGTTTTTTTTTTTTTTTTAATAAATAAATATGTATATGTATCTGCATTTACATACATTATATTTATTTTATTGAAATATATTTTTAAATGCAAGAAAAAAAAATTAATATATAATAATATAGTTATATTTGTTTATTAAATAATTTTATAATAAAATTTATTGTTAAATTAAATACTCATATTGTTACCATTTAGTGTTTAAAGCAATAAAAATCGTAGTTTTGTTTTTATAAATATTATTTGTTTTTTGTTTTTTTTTGTTTTTCTTTTAAATTTTTATTTTAAAGATAAGCTTTGTTGTAATAAATAACCAAAAAAAATATATATACATTATATATACAATTACAATTATATATAATTTTTATTTGTTTTCAAAATTATATCAAATATATTTTGAAATTTTAATATGCTCTCTTTTATTTTTATAATAATATTGATCATTATTATTAAATTAATATTTTTATGTTAATTGCAAATAATTGTTTTTTATTAAATATTATATACATATAGAAACATACAAATATTATAATTCATTTAACATAAAACATATTACAATTATTTATTTATATACTTGTTGTTTGTTTATATATATTTATAATATTAATTAAAAAAAAACATAATTATATTGATTGCTCCTATATTATTTTTTGATTTCTACTCTGTTTTATTTATTCTCCATTTTATTCCTCTATATAAAGTATTTACATTACAAAAATGTTACTACATTAAATGTTTCTTTTATCTTATAATATATAATTACATACCTTATTATATTATTTTCTGTTTTATTTGTTTTGTTATTAAATTTTTTTTGTATTTAAAAAAAAAAAAAATAAATAATAATTTATTAAAATGATTTATTTTTTATATTATATTTTGTTAATGTAAAATTTTATATTTATATTGTATACTTGAAAATAAAAATATATAATTTTTTTATCTGCATTAATATTTAAATTTTAATATAAAATACAATTATGTTATATTTACTTAATAAATAACATAAGTTAAAAAAAAAAGTGACATTAATTTAATTAAATAAAACAAAATTAGCAACATCAAAAACTTTTAGTTTTTTATTTAACAAAAATAATTCAAAACAAGCAAAAAAAATATTTTTACCAAATTATACCAAAATATACCAAAATTACCAAAAAAAAAAAAAAAAAAACAAAAAAATACCCAAAAAATCATGTTAATTTATGCAATAGAATATTACATAAAATTTATTGATTCAAGTTGGATGAATTCCGTCTGGAAATTCAAAGAAGAGATCAAGAGATCATGGCGATGGCGGCCAAGATGAAAACTCTAGAGGAGCAGCATCAGGTAAATGTCTGTACATTTCATTACTTATTCCATTATTATGTAGCTAAAAAAAAAAAAACAATTTTTTTCATTTTTTTTTATACTTTTAATGGTATTGCTTCAATTTCATTAATGAATTTTATTAAATTAATTTATTTTAAGTTGTATAAAAAAAAATATAATTACTTAAAATTTATTAACTCAAAATTTTAAAAATTGACGCTTTAATAAAGAATCCATATTAAATTAGTACATGAGAAGCTTTCAAACTTTCTACCGTTCTTATTTTAAGAATTGAGCTTTCGAAAAACTTCATAATTAAATATATTATTAAAATTTAATTTAAATTAAATTAATTATACGCTTATTGAACAAAAATTTCAGAAACTATTATATAGAAACTACTAATTTAAAAATTTGGTTATTAATAAAAATTTAAATACAGAATATTATACAAAATCTTATATTTTAAACGAATTCTATTGATATTCGTTGTATAAAAGCAAATTTACAAAAAAAAAGCATTTAGTTAAATAGCAAAAAAAAATCTTAAAATAACTTCCTGATAAAAAATACAAAAATACCATTTCAACTAAAAATTAAAAAAATGAAAAAATAATCACCACTGTAGAATATTTTACAATTATTTTAAAACATTCACATTATTAATATTATGATTTTTAAAGTGATTTTTTGTTTATACAATTATAATGTAAGAAGGTTATTTATTTTAAATTAATTGATTAAAAAAAAAATAAACACAAAATACTGTCTTACAAAAAAAAAAAAAACAAAAACAAACAAAAAAACCATAAAAAAAAACACTTAAAAATAATATCACAGGACTATCAAAGGCATATAGCTGTTTTAAAGGAATCATTATGTGCTAAAGAAGAACATTACAATATGCTTCAAACTGATGTAGAAGAATTAAGAGCTCGTTTAGAGGAAAAAAATCGCCTGATAGAAAAGAAAACCCAAAGTGCCCTACAAGCTGTACAAGAGAGGAATCGTTTAAATAATGAACTGACTGAATTAAAAGACCATATGGATATTAAGGAAAGAAAAATAAATGTTTTACAAAGAAAGGTAAGTTACACATACCTTGTATATACATATAATATATATATATACAACCATGTACACATATAATTTATTATATAATATAGCATTCAAAATAAAAATCATACATGCTTAAAAAAAAATATTTGATTACATTTATAATTTATAAAAACAAAAAAAAAAATTAACACATGACAATTGTAATTAAGAAAAAAAAAAAACGTAAATTTCTTTTTGTTAAATTATTCTTTTTTTTTTTTGTTCTTTTTTGTTGTCTTATACATACTTGAAAATATTTAAATTGCAGTTATTTTGTGCTTGTTTCAATTATTTAATAATTTGAAGTACATATTTATATTAGAGAATTTTTCAAAAAAAATATTTAAGTTACTTTTTTTATTTTATTATTATAATAATCTTAAAATATAATGTTATAGTATAGAAAATTTAATTATAAATGTAATAAACAAAAAAAAAAAACAAAGATATTACTTAATTTTTTTTTTCTAATTATTTGTTATTAGAAAAACAAAAAAATTATTGCATTAAAATATTTTTAGAAAATTTTCATCTCAAACATTATTTTTATAATATTACATATAATATAGCAATTAATGAAAATATAAAAATATAAATATATTACATGAATATAAAATGAAATTTTAAATTTTATAACAAAACCGAATCAAATAAGGAAAATATAAAGTTTATATTTATTTTTTTTATTTTACATTTTATCAATATTCTCAATTTAATTTCTAAAAAATAAATATGCTTTGATATTCTACCAATGTTAAATAATTCATTGTTTTTTAAATTTAAATTAAAATTCAAAAATTGCTTTTACATTGTATGTAATTTAAAATTTTATAAAATTTGCTTAACTAACAAGAAAAAAAAAAAACAATTGCTGCAGTAGTTAGAAAATTATTGATTAGAATTAATTTTTGAGCTAACTAACGGAATGAAGAAGTAAAACAATATTTTTTCTATTTGTTGTCATCAACAAACTGAACTATAGTTTGTTCATTGACATTATTATTATCGAAAATAATTATTTTTTTTTTTTCGAATTTCAGGGCTCGAAAAATCTTAAAAGAAATACAATTTATAAATTGAAATTAATTTTTCGACTCACTTTTGTTAATGAAATTCGTTTCGTTTTTCTAAAAATATACAAGTACAGTTTATTTAATTAAGAAACTGCTAATTATCTACAATATGTGTTTTATAGTATAATATACCATTTTGGTAAATTTACTATGCTACATCTCCGATTGCTATGTTAATTAGAATAAAAGAAAAAAAATGCCACAGCTTCGCTTACAATACGTTTCACGTTTTTTTTTTTTTTTTTTTTGAAAATAAATAAAAAATCAAATTTTGCTTAAGATCTGGCAACTCAAATATAAAAATATTTCAAATTTCAAAAAAACAAAAAAAACTCACTTTTTGACCTTGGAAGGAAAAAAACCCAAATTTCATCATTATTTTTTAAATTCATTTTTCATATGTTAATTTATAGTTTTTGTTTTTTACTTATTAAAATAAAATTTTTTTATGACTTCTACTAACCTGTTTTTTTTTTTTTGGTTCTTTATATTACAAACAATTTAAACAAAATTAATATTAGATTGAAAATCTAGAAGATCTTTTAAAAGAAAAAGATAATCAAGTTGATATGGCACGAGCTAGATTATCGGCTATGCAAGCTCATCATAGTAATTCCGAAGGTGCTTTAACTAGTTTAGAAGAAGCAATCGGTGATAAAGAAAAACAAATGAGTCAATTACGTGAACAACGTGATCGGGCTGAACATGAAAAACAAGAAGAACGTGAATTACATGAAAGAGAAATAGCCGATTATAAAATTAAATTACGATCCCTAGAGAGTGAAGTTGAAAAACTTAATTTGAGATTAGATCGTGCTATGACAGAGAAAGATCGATTAGAAATAAAATTGGAATCATCACAAAGTGAATTAGGTAAATCAAAAGCAGAATTAGAGAAGGCGACAAGTGAAGTTGGTCGAAGTAGTTCAGATTGGGAACAAACAAAGCAGCGTATTGCACGTTTAGAACTTGAAAATGAACGTTTACGGCAAGATTTAGAGAAATCTCAGGTGGGTTTTTTACTTTAAATTTTTTTATTTTAATTTTTTTTTTTTTTTTGCTCACGTAAAATCTTTACCGAAAACAAAGCATATAAGTATCTATACAAAGGAATTGAAAATTTTGGTAATACTGTTTGTTATAATATGGAATAGCTAAAATGAAAAACTTTTTTCAACGTTATCTAAGACAAAGTAATTAAAATACTCTTTATTATTAAATAACAAAGGGTATATTTAATTACTTAATATTAAACTTAAAACGACAATAATGTGTAAGTTTTTTAAAAGCTAAATACAACGAATATTTGATATTTGGTATCTAATAAATTAAAAAGATGCTGTCAATTTTTACAAAAGAAAAAAAATAAACATTGAAATTTATTTTTTTTTTTCGGATGCACACATAACCTTAATTAAAATATTTCTCAACCTTTCAAATACTTTACATTAAATACTTATATTTAATTAATTAATCTTAAATAAGAATTTTACTTTATATTATTTCAAAAATAAAAATCTGAAAAATTTACTTATGTGTTTTATAAATTGATAATCTCTTATAAAATAAAGATAACTTAAATAATAATTATGAACAATTTTATATCACAACCTTTTTAATTTTTTGTTATGTTTTTTGCCTTTTATTTAAACTAATTAGTTTAATTTAATTTTTATTTTAAGTTAAATAAAAATATATGAATAATAATATCACTAATTATATACAAATTGCAATATTAAATATTGCAAAAAGTGATTTGAGAAATTGAAAATAAATAAAATAATTGATTATTCAAAATTATCTGCAAAATGTAAAGTAAATTAAGTATAGGACTATTTAAAATTAGAAAAATAAATAAAAATTTATTTTTATTAACAACAAAAAATACAAAATTAAATTACCCAATTGAATATCAAAACAAATTTTATGTAAATTTAGTTTTCGATAAAAATTTGATTTTTAAATATATATATATGAAAATACATATATTTAAATATATTATATAACCAGAAGCATTTAAAGAATTTAAACATTTGAATAATTTTACTTACTCAACGGTTTTGCTGGGTTATTGAAGAATACCTTGTTTTCCAATTTACTTATTTGAACACTTTTTGCAATATTAATGATTCAATTTCAGGTATTTCATATAAGTGTATAATATATTTCTTATAAATAAACCAATAAGAATGATTTAGCCTAAAAAGAAAAAAAAATATTCTTACTTGAGTAAATTTTTTTAATCAACATCTTAATTCTTATAATATACTATACTACTTAAATAAAACAATCTAGAATTATATTTTTAAGCACATAAAAAATTCCAGAAAAACAAAAATCTAATTAAATTTCCACGGCATATTCTGCACGAAAATTTTATAAAGGAATATTATTTTCGTTTTTTTTTTTTTTTGTTGTTTGCATACTATCCTTCTATTATTTTCCTTACCCATAAAACTATTTTACCATATTTCGAAAATGAACATAAAAACACAGTAATTAAGTAGTGTAAAATAATAATTTTTTTTGAAAACTGTTTCATTGCAAATTAAAAATTTATTCTGTTTAATGGTATGAAATTTTACAAATTATTGAAAATTCTAAAAAATTTTCTTTATTAATGAATGACTTTTGTAAAAAAAAAAAAAGATTACCTATATAATTTTTTAATAATTTTACTTTAAGTATTTTAAAAACGTAGATTTATTGAAAAAAATTATGCAAGAAAAGTTCTTTTCCAAAAATGAAACACAAAATATCAAAAAACAAAATTTCTTTTGTTTATGTACATAAAATATATGTAGTAAAACTTCTATAAATAAAAAAAAAAATAACACAAATCTCTACTTCTGATGGCTTTCTACTATTTCATTGTTTTTTTTTTCGTATTACTATTATATACTTCTTCATTTTCAGAATTTGAAAACTGAGGAAAAACATCTTTATTATGGAAAACAGGTAAAACGTCTTATTTTTCCTCTCAAAAACACATTTAAATAATATTAAAATTATTATTAAAAAAAAATTATGTACAATATATAAATATTTATATGTATATTTACGAATGCATAAACAGAAAAATTAAACAAAAATTATTTAATGTAAATTTTCATTAATTTTTGTCTACATGTAAATTTTGCTACAATTATTATTATAATTATTCTTATTTTAATATACTATACTATGAATATACTATAAAATAAACATACTATAAAATTTTCATATCTAACAATAAGCATACATACTATAAATTTTTGTGATATTAAAAAATATTTAATAAAGAAATTTTGCTTTCTCTTCTTTCTTTTAATTAAATATTCTTATATATCTATTAAAAAATAAATTGTGTATTACTTAAATAAATTTTTCATATGACTTTTTAACATTTTGATTATTAATTATCCTTAAAGCATGAATAGGTACATTATTTATTATTTTGTGTTGTTATCTCATTTTTTTTAATAAAAAATCATAATTCAATTATTTTACAATTTTTTTTTGTTAATATCGGTAAAAACTTATAAAAGATCGATCTATTTTCTATATATTTTAAATTTTCGACTAAATGAGACAATGATTTATTTGCTGTATTTTTACAATTACTTTTTTTATTGCAATCATTTTTAAATAAATTGCATTGGCCCCAAAATTTTTCATAATTATACAATGAAAAATCATTGAATGAAATTGAATAATATTTTATTATTACAATTTACAATATTTATTTTATGGTGTCTAATCAAAAATCAAATCAATGCAGAAGTTCTTTGAAACGCAATGTGCATTAACACTGTGATACTACTTATTTAGTAATTAAAACTTACAAGCTTAATTCTATAATAATACAGTATTATTATACATTCATTATTTATTTTAGAATTGAATAGAAATCAATTGAATTGAAAAATATTAGCTTGTAAGACTATTCTTCAATTAACATTTATTATATTACAAATCATAATTGAATCATTGTCAATAGAAATAAAAAAAAAATCATTTACAATTATAAAACAATAATTTTTATCTACATTTTTAGATTTTCAATGTTGTGTTTTATCATTTGCCAAAATATACATACATAAATAATATACATTTAAGTGTATTAACTTTAGTTTTATACATAAGTACATATATCATTTCTTTAATATTTTCTGATTTCTCTATTTTATGTACATTTCATATTACTTTATATGCTTTATTAAGTGTTTTCAATTCATATTTCTGTCGACTTTTTATACATTATAAGATAAATACAATAAAATTTCGGTTATATAACAAATAATATGCCCTCAAACAAATAAACTTAACGATCCTTTTTATGCTATAATTAAATATTAAAACTATTTAAATTGTACATTTAAAAAATGTTATTACATAATAATCATCGAAATTAATTTCCATATCTTATTGCATTACTTAATTATAAATAACTACGTAATTAAATTATTATTGAAATATTAAAATCGAATATTTATAAACATAATTTCAAAGCTTTTTTGGTTTATTCTCAAATATTGCTATGTATACATAGAAAACAAAAAAAAACAATATAAAACATATATATTATATACAATCAAAATCAATTAAAATTTTCTTTGAAAAAATATAACATTCATATTTCAATAATATATTATAAATGTTTTCTCTAATATTTATATTTTTTATCTTTATTTTATACCTTAATTTATTTATTTATTAATCCAAACATTAAAATATTAATATATATGTATGTAAATATTTATAAAATATTTTTACTATAAAATTATTGAGACCAAGCAAAAACAATCAATAATATTATATTTCAGACAACATTTGGCCGTAATACTTTAACAACATCACAAGAATTAGATCGTGCTCAGGAAAGAGCTGAAAAAGCTGCTGCTGATTTGAGAAGAACTCAAGCTGAATTAAGAGTAACGCAGGTAAGATTTATAATATTTATCGTAATAAAAAACTTTAAGCAAAAAAAAAAAATTTCAAAATAAAAAACAAAATTAATTATTAAACGTTTAACCTGCAAAAACAGTTAATATTATTTTACCTGCTTTGTAATAATAGGAGTTCAAAAAAAAAATAAAAATAAAATTTTCTAAAAATAACTGATACAATAATTCTTATTCAATCATTTATACAAAACCCCCCAAAAAAAGTATTTGAAATTTAATATCAATTATCAAAGAGGATAATAAATTAAAAAATTTCTATATGAATTGACAAAAAAATAGAAATTAACAAAAAATAATTGTTTTAAGAACAAAGTAATAAAATAAATACAGTATATATGTTATATATATGAAATTGATTCTTAATTTGAAATTATATACATATAAATTAAATTTTAAAAACTTAAAATATTGTAGTTTAATTATTCATTATACAATAATACTTTCAATACATAACACACTTTTATGTATATAGAAAAAAAATTTACATTATATATATATTTAATTTTTTAAAATATTATCTTCTTATATAACTATATATTATTAATATGCAACATCAGAAATTCCAAAAAAAAAAAAAAAAAACAAATATACCAAATAAAAACCAAGCAAACCAGTATGTTTTATATTTAGATTAAAATTAACCCTGCAACATACAACCAAATTAAAAATATATATATTTTAATAACGAAAATGCTTCACATTATATTATAAATAATTTTTACTACTACTATCTATATATATAATATTATCATCATATATTATAATAACAGATATAAATATAAATAATATTTGTAAATATATATATATATATATATATATATACATATTTCATATATATGAATTGACTACTAATTTTTTATTTCATATAATAGGTGAGCCATTTACAGTTTTTAAAAGAACCACTATAAAAAAGATTATAATAAATATAATCTATAAGAAATATAATTTGAATAAAATAACGTAATAGAAAATGGTTCACACATTATATTTGAAACAATATTGTATAACTCCGAAGAATTTCCTTAAACCATCTTCCTTGCCCCACCCCCCTCTTTTTTATATTTAAAAGTCAAAATTATATCAAACAATTAATATATAATATAAAATTATATAATTTATATATATAAATATATATATATATATATATATATAACATATAACATCTATTAACAATGAAAACCCTACTATATAATTATTATTATTACTATTTTAATTTTTATTTTGTATTCAACATAAAAGACAAAACAAAAAAAGAAAATTAAAAACTTTTTTAATTTACAAAAATATAAATGTTTTTTAGGGCGATACAGACCAAAATTTTGTGAGTAATAATTCACTCCAAAGTTTTGTTTTTCTCTTTTTTTTTACAATAATTTTTTTTACCTATATTTTCTCTTTAATTTCTTTTATTATTTTTTTTTATCTTTTATCCACGATTTTTATTTACTTTTATAATCTATATAATTCAAATTATATTTTTTGATACATTTTACTTTTTATATGAATTATTTTTATATAATAACATAATAAATTTTACATACATACATTGATTTGTTTTACTATCATTTTAATACAATATTATCGTTTTTTTTAATACTATAAGAACATTTTTTTGAAAACATTATAAAATTAAAATAACATTTAAAATTTTTAACATTGATTAATAATTCAAATTAAAATGTTATACGCACACACAAATACATACAGATGCAAGTAACTTTTAAACAACATACATTTTACATTATAAAATAAAATACAATATTTTTAGAAAACAAATCATATAAACTATGCATAATTATGTACATTATAAAACAATATACAAAATGTAAAAAACAACAAAACAAAAACATCAAATGCATATAGGCAGCAAACTCATTGTAGCGCGCATTTTTACATAAAAATTTTTAAAAAACAAATTTGAGCGCAATTAAATAAGCTTTTTAATTTTCAATCCTTAAAAATATATTTTTTTTAATTGCTTATATATATAGTTAAACTCTTTTTCTTATTATACATAATAAGAATTAGAGTAAAGTTCTTCTATTGTTTTATTATTTTTTTTATTTCTTTCAATTAATTATTTTATTAGTTTGGCATAAAATATTGATAAACTATAAATAAGCTATGGAAAAAAATGTTTTGTTATACAATTTATTAAAAATTGCTATTCTTAATCAACTTTAAATGCATTACGCTTTAATATTGCAAAACAGCTAATATTTTTAGGACGTTATACATACATCTTATCCATAATTAAAACATTTTCTTTAAATAATTGAAAATTATTGAATCATTACTCTAATTTTTACATATTTTAAAATTTTTAAAATATAAATTTTTTATGGTTTTCTCTTAATATAAAACGAATAAAACACCAAGATAACGGTGATATATTTATGGTTACATTAACGGGTAATAGAACTCTCATTAATGTACGGTGAAACACACACCCACATTCCGATAGTAGCATCACTTGAGATGATGGAATACTATTTAAAAGTATGTATTAACCTTTTCAGTACAGAATATTGAATTTCGAAATTTACAAAAATTTCAAATTATATCACATATTCTGAAGTGGCACGCCAAAAAGAATGTAATTCAATAATTTCAGTCGAAAATTCGATTTATTTAATTACACCAACAAATATTTAAACTTTACCTTATGTTTTAACTTCAACAAATTCTTCATTTACATTTTTAAATGTTATTTCAGCAATATCGACAATCTATTCATAGAGTGATCAATTTATATCTGCCAGAATGATTTTTGTTGGCAGTAATTTGAGTTTGGTTTTTTATGTATTGTTAAATTTGAATCCGTTTTTGTATGTTTCATTTTATACTTTCACTTTATTCATAACCATTTCCGTGCTCTATAAAATTAGTTTACATTTTCAATGTGTTAGGTTAAATACATTTTCAATACAAATTTCGAGTTCTTCCATTGCTCATTCAGGTTTTACTAAAAATAAAAAAAAAATGTTGAATGTTATTTTACTGAAGGTTGATATTTTATCTATGCTTTTTATAAACACTTTTTTTTTATTTTATAAACAAAAAAAAATATATTAAAACAAAACCAATAAAAATCGAACAGCACATTTTTTTTATGTTTATTAAAATCTGTTCAAATAAAGTTAATTTTCCAATTCAAAATTATTATTTTAATATATTTATATTATTAAAATTATCACAAAACTCAAAACGTTATAATATTGTATATTTTGTAGTATTATATTATGCTTATCCATATCATAAAAGTATAATTTTGTAATATATAATTTTTTGAATTTTAACGAGCTTGTAATATTATTAGCGTTTATTAATACTATATTAACTATAATATATACAAAATAGAGAGATTATTGTAAAATATATATATATAGATACAATAATTAATATTTAATAATTTTTATTTGCAAAATACCTAAATTATTTTATAAAAATTAATATTAAAATAGTATAGAATTTACTTTAAATGAAAAGTATATATTTCATTAATATGATTTATGATTAAATTTTAATTAGTACGCATAATTTATATAAAGAAATTAATAAAGAATGTATTATAATAAGCACCAAAAAGAAATATTTCAGCTTAAATATATTTTACATTTCTTATAGCACAATATAACATTAAAATTAAAACTAATCATGATTTAAACAAACATACAACTATATATAATAATTTAGTATACTTTTTATTACAAAAAAAAATAATAACATATTTACTAATAATTGATAACAGAAACGATCCAACGAAAAAATTATAATGGAAATTTTAAAGCAAACAAAAATTTTATTGGAAATTTTTAATCAATCTTATTTACAATATTCTAATTCTATTAACACATTTATTTTAAATTCTTTATAAATTTTTAATAATGTAATTTTTGTAACTACATACATTTTTTAATTATTCAAACAATAATTGATTTAAATAGTGAAGAAATTAACATTACTAGTCGTTTACTTTGTTACATAAAACTCTAAAAATTTTCACAAAAATTTTAAGTTTTAAAGGAATAAAATTCTCAAAATTCCAAAACAAGATCTATATTTAATGATAATAATATTTATATTAATGTTTGCAACACCGTGATTTTTTTTAAATTTTATACATAAAAACAAAAGCTTGAACCATTTAAAGTACACGTAAAACTAAATTAATACACAAAAACTAATTACATGTAATTTAGAAATTTTACACTTATTTAATATTTTTTACAATTTTTTCAATCTTTTTTTTCTCTTTTATTTATTCTCTTATCTAATTTTCATTTTATTCCATCTTTTTTATTTTTTAGTTTATTTTCTTTTTTTTTTTTTTAATAAATTCTGAAGTGAATTCTTATTTTTCAAATATTCATAATTTCAGGGTTTAATTTTTTCTCTAATTATACTTAAAATATCAATATATATATTTCAAATTTTTCTTAAAAATCAATTAAATTAAAACCGCTCTTTCACTTAAACATTAAAATTACAAGAAAACTTTATTAAATATATATTTTTTCCCCTTAAGTTATTTATTTAATTTGGCCAAACTATTGAAAAACAACTACTATAAAAAAAAACAACAGCTAATATAAAAATTTTAAATTTAAAAAAGTGTTTATACATATATTTGATATTGAAAAGTCTTTTTTAATTGAAATTAAGTCTATCTTAATTTATAATTAAAATAAAGATCTAGTAGAAATGATTTCCATCTTAATTATTTCTATTTTTCGGTTTGTACTAGTTTGTACTATCATTTCAAATATTATTCTTCAAGATAAAATCATTCAGCAATATTACAGCTTTTTCTAAAAATAAAAAAAAATCATTATAAACAATTTATACATATTATGTGAATATAAAATATTCTTAGAAATTATATATATTTACATAAATTTTGAGCATATTTATAAAAACATATTTTATAAATATGAATTCATTCTGTTATACAAAATTCTATTATTCATTGCATTATACAAAATTAATTTATTTAGATTTAATATAAAAATATATCTAAATTTAAAATTTCTGAATTTAAGATTATAAATTAACATTAAACAACATAGGCCCATGACCTACGATTATTCAATATTCATATTACAAATAAATAAAAACTACTTTTTAAAACAAAAAATATTTTACACAAAAAATTTTACATTTTACTGTGTATAATTATTTACAATATTAACAGAGTTTCCAAATATTTATTTGTTATTATCAAATACAATACAATAAAAACAACAAATTTCATTATTAAATATTTTTAATTCATTATTTTCTCAACTTAAATCGAATTTCAATATTTTATTGTTAGTTATATGTATGCTTTCTAACAAATTTTAATATTTTATTATATTTTTATTATTATATAAGAATCGAATTAAAAATTATTTATTAATTCAGTTTAGTTACAAAAAAGAAAATAATTATGAAATAATAAATTTAAAAAGAAAAAAAAATAATTATTTTTTATTTAGATATTAAATAAAAAATAAATTATATTTTATGTTTTATAATCTTAAAAATTTAATTTATTTCCACATTCTATATTAAAAACTAAACTAAAAAAAAGAAAAGAATGAAAAATTAAAACAATTTGGCCATGACTTAAATAATTAATATCAAAAAGACGTTAAATAAAAAAAAATATATTCTGTTATATTTTTGCATTTTGATTCAATTTTTTTAATAACGTTTTAACGAACACAAGAAAAAAGGATATTGTTAAGGATTTCATATTACAGTATTGTAGGAAGCGCTTTTTTTCAACAAATTTTTGGTTATGATTATTATGATATGAAAGTGATTTAAAAATGAATATTTAAAGGTTCCATTTTAAATAATTATTAATATAGTTTTTTTTGATTAATTTTTTACTTGTTTTTATTTTAATTTTATAAAGGATTAAACCCCAAATATTTGAAAATATTTATAATATTTAAAAAAATTATGTTTCAAATTTAAAGAAAAACTTCAACAAAATTTTGGGCTAATTTGTGAGTTATACAAATACTTTTTTTCTTTATTAATATTCCGTAATATAAAGGACCATTTTTTTTGTTTTCGGTTTCTTTTTTAATTCTATTTATTTTTTCTGATTTTCATTTTTTACTTTGTATTGTATTATATGTACAATTTATATAAAAATATATGTAACAAAACTTTTATCTAAAAAATATAACTTCCATTTTTCTCCATTGTTTTTTTTTTAAAGAAAGTTGTAGAATTTTCCTCTCCTTCATTATATCATTTTTATTTATTGATTATATATAAGCAACATTATCTTATTTTATTTGTTCATATAAATATAAATATAAAAAAATAAATATTTTTAAGACCGCATCTTTTAATCTCAGTTAGACAAAAAAAAAATATTTTATAATAAAAATATAAAAATTCATCAAGATCATCAAGTTTCATCTTAAAATTTAAGCAAAAGCAAAAATCAAAAAACAAAAAAAATATATATATGTATATATATATATATTTATACGTATATTAAAAATAAAATCCACCATTTTAAAATTAAGTTATCCAAATAATATTAAATTAAAAACAAAAAAAAAATGTCGTAATAATAATGTAGCTTTTGGCAGTTAAGTTCAGTTGATTTTTTAATTTTTCCATATTATATACATTTATTTGAATTCATCTACATTAACTAAATTAATTAAAACAAAAAAAAAATTTATATAAAAGTAAATAATACAAAAATTCAAGTATAAAATGCAGTAAAAAATTAAAAAAAAAAAAAGTGTTGCCATGTTGTATTACCATTTTTTTAAATCACTACATAAATTAAATTAAAATTTATAGGCTTGTCTTGAAAAATTAGCACACAAATTTGAAGAGCTCGAATTAAGTAAAGATGTTGCTAAAGATTTAAAGGATTCTAGAGATTATGGTAATCCTCATCATGATCGTGATAAATATGGTAATCCTCATCTTGATCGTGGTGATAGATATGGTAATCCTCACCCTGTCAAAAAAGTTGAAACTAGAGAATCAACAGCACAAACTTTAATATTCAACATAGAGGCAAGTTACAAAAAAAAAAAATACAAAAAAAAAAAGAAACCAAAAAAATCCCTCCATATTTCGTTATAACGTTTTTAAGTTTTCTGAGTTAATAATTCATTAACATTAACAATGTTTTCATTTCTTTGGTTTTGTTTATTTCATTTTAATTTTTATTGTTAATATTTCTTTTGATATTTATAGATTTCGTTATAGAGAATTTTTACTTAAAAATTAAAAAAAAAAAAAATTTGTTTATCGTACTTCTTCATGATATTTAATTAAATGAGTTCAGAAAAATATTTTTAATGATTTTAATGATTATATAACATATACGTATATATACCGAAAGTACAAGTAAATTTATACATAAAATAATATAAAAATTAATTATATAGCATATTTAATTTTTAAAAGTATATTTATTATTTTATTATTTTAAATTTTGTTATATTAAATTTTATAGCAATGCATATAGTATTTTAAAAATTATTATTTTAATTTTGATTTTTTGGTTTTCTGTTACTTTTTCATTTAATTTAATTGGCATGCAAATAAAGCTCGTTAATTTTAACGTAAAAAATAACAAAAAAAAAAATATAACTAAAATCAAAATCTTTTAGTTTATTTTTAAAATCAATTTCATATCTTCGAATCGAACCAATAATATTTTTTAATAGCAAAAAAGCAATATGAAAATACGCATTTAATCCTATTTTAAATGTTAGTTATTTTTTTTCTCTCAATAATTTTAATTAACAAACTTTTATAGTACTGTCATTGTTGTGTACACAATGAAAACCAATAAAAAAAAATTTGTTAAAGCATATTAATTTCATTATGAGTGTCAGTAATACTTTTTATCTATCAATAAATTTACAAAAATACCAAAACATAAGCAACAATAATATATATTACATATATAGTAAATGTCAAAAACTAAATCTTATCTTTATATATATATATATACATTATATAGGATATATGAATAAATTTTAATCCGTACAAGTTGTTGAAATGCGCTTTTATATATTATATAATTTGTTGGTTTTATTTGTACATTTTTTAATTTCTATTAATAGATTATTACAAATCGATATATAACATAAGTATATATTTATATATTTATATATGTATATATAAAAAAATGTATACATGCATATATATATATATATATATATATTTACATAAATAGTATATCTGTATATAGTTACGTTAGGCAAAAAAAAAAATTACTGTCATTATTATTAATTTTATACAAAATAAAAATATTTCTTCTACCTATAATTGTTTAAATTTTAAGATGCAATTTTAAATATATATAAAATATATGTGTATATATAATATGCAAGAATATATATAAAAGTATAATATAAATAAAATATATTAACAAAAGAAAAAAAAACAAATAAATTAAAAAAAAAAATAATATTAAAAGTTAATTATTAGCAAATGCACAAATGTTTGGCTTTAAATTTATGCATTCTTAAAACCACCCCACCAATATAATTTTATATATATATATATATTTTTTTTTCGTATAAGAATTAATTTAATTTAAGCAACAAAACAAAAATATATATATATATTTATTTTTATCAATTTTATTCATAAAATACATGGCTTTTTTTTTTCTCCTCCCTTTTCAAATATGGATTTCGTTTAATTGAATTTATCAAAAAAAAAATTCCAAATCATTGAAACGTTAATGACACAAACTATTCTTTAAAATCAAATAGCATATTGAATTAAAATATTTCACATTCCAAAAAAAATTATTAGGTAATTATAATTTTCACAGTATTAAATCAAATATTTCATAAAGGAATACTAAAAATTTTGAAATTTAAAGGAGCAGCAGCTTAAAATTAACATTAAAAATATTCATACGTACTTTAAATTCCATCTTTTTAAAAAAATATGCTCATAACAATTGCAAGGTATATTATTATACAAAGTGTAGCTTTTCAAAATTCGAATTCTTAATATATATTCTTGAATCTATATTATCATTAAAATTTTTTTTAATTATAATTTAATGCATTATCATATAATATAAATTTTCCTTGAAAACCATTAACTCTATTAAATTTTAATTTTAATTTTTTTGTGCAAATAAATTTCACAAAAATTTATAAATTTGAAATTTTCGAAATCCATTTTTGTTACATTCTTTTATATACAAAATACAAAAATTAATAAACATAAATTTTTACATTTTTAATAATGAAAAAAGAAAAAATACATGTATATTATGGTGAAAAAAAAATACATCTTTATTAATAAATAGTAGATATTTAATAATTGATCACCTTTTTCTTACATAAATAATATTAATAACTATATATTATATAGAAATGTTTCTTTTTGAATGAATTAAAAAAAAAAAAAACAATTCAGAAAAAAAAATTAATATTCAAACTCATTTCAAATTTTCTCAGAATTTTTTTAATACAAAATTACCATTTCAATTTTCCAAAAAGAAATTCATAATTTTTAATTTATTTTATTTATTTAATTTATTTCTTCTCAAAAATCGTAAAAAAAACCTCAAATAACAAAATAATACGCCACAAAATCAAAAAAAAAAAAAATCCTAAAAAAATCTAAAACAAAAATAATAATATCAAAATCAACAACACAGAGTGATGCTGAACGTGCTCGCAATGAAGCTGCTGCCTTACAAGAAAAACTTGAAAAATCACAAGGTGAAGTTTATCGACTTAAAGCAAAATTGGAAAATGCTCAAGGTGAACAAGATAGTTTACGGCAAGAAATGGATCGTGTTCAAGCGAGTGTTAGCCGTATACATGCTGAAAGAGACAAAGTGAGTTTATCATACTAATCGAAACACTAATGCAAAAAAAAATGTTTGTTGTTTTCATACACGCTTTTAACCATGATTGCATTAACCAATCATTTCCGAAATAAAATTATTATGAATTCTTAAAATATATATGAAAAAAATCATTCACAATATAATTCCAATGATGAATTCCTTCAAGTATTTTTCTCAAACATTTCACCTCATTATTACATTCATCATCGTTCTCAGTATAACTAAAATAAAAAAAATATATATAAAACAATTAATATATGTAATTGTAATTGCTAAAGACTTAAATAAATATTAATCATCAAATCATAATTAATAAATCTATAAATATTTAAATTAATATTAAAGAAATATTGAAATATGTAAATAGACGTACATGTTATGTACAATGCATAGAAATGAAAGTTTTCACTTTTACAATTAATAAAATGTGAGAATCTCATTTAACCAAAATTGCCACATTGAAAAATATAAACACTTTTGAATTCAATTGTATTGTATAATGTTAACAACTTCAATAATTTTCTCCAATTTCAATTTTAAAATTAAAAGAAAGTTTTGATACATGTATATTTTAATATTTGAAGAATTCAAATGATTTTAATTTTTATAAAATCAAAATTTTATTTATTTTTCCAATTTTTCAAAGAAATTTTCAAACCAATTTCAATTGCATAAAAAAGAAAATAAATGCACTTAAATGATTTAATCGTGAACGCCACTAAACAATATCATTTAAGCGTTAATATATTTTAAGATATTTTGGAAAAGGGCAACATTCACCAAATTATCAAAAATTCCCGAAAATCCCTGAGTTTTAAATTTAAAATCATTTAATTTAACTTTTTTTTAATTATTTTAAAGCACATACATATAAATGTATATATAATTCCCTAAATCACATTCAAAAATTTCCTATATTGAATTTTAATCACTATTAATTGAATATAAAGTCAAATTTTATTAAAAATAATATAAAAAATAATATTTATTAACTTAAATTTTGAAAATGATACACCCTAATTACGCACATCTAAATTAAGCATAACATAAATGGTACTGGTATTCTAACATAATTAAATTTTTATTTCACTTCATATAGTAAGAAAATGTTCTAAATTTTTTTGACTCAAAAAAAAAAAAAAATAAAAAAACTATATAAATTCTATTCCCTTTTTCATCATTTGGAAATTCTCAATTATTCTACAAATTATAAATTATCAAAAAAAAAAAAATCTTAAAAACGAAATAAAAAAAAATTAAAAACAACTTCAAAACCAATGATGTTTCAAAAATTAAAAAAATGAAGGCTTATGCTGAGCTTGAAAAGAATAAAGAAGAACTCGAAAGGACCCAGGCTACTTTAGGCAAAGCACAATTACAGCAAGAGAAACTTCAAATGAATTATGATAAAGCTCAAAATGAAGTTGATCACTTGCAAGAACGCTTTGATAAAGCAACCGCTGAAGTCCGACGTTTACAACTTGAAAAAGAAAAACAACAATACGAATTCGAAAATATTCAATCACAGCTCGACAAAGCTTTGGGACAAGCAGCAAGAATGCAAAAAGAACGTGAAGCATTGGGTGCAGATGGTGATCGTTTACGTGAAAAAATGGAAAAAATACAAGTAATAAAAAATGGCTAATTTTTTTTTTTGTTTTTTTTTATATTTGAGATTTTAATTTTATTTTACTAATCTTTTTGTTTTTTTTTTTTTTTGATTGATTGTTTGTTAGTTCTCAAATTAATTTTTCTATTTATTTTTTATAGAAAAATTAATTTTTGTATTTTGATTTTTCTACATTTTTAATTTTAATAATTTAAAATAAATCATATGAATTTTTTTTTAATAATTTTATTAAATGTTGTTCAAACATAAAGTTTATTATTAAAAAATATTAAAAAAAAATAATAAAAAAAAAACATAAATAAAAAAAAAAAATCTTTTTTGGATGTTGTAAAACTACTTTTATCTCTCTTCTTTTCTCTTCTCTTTTCATTTTTTTTATATATTATATAAAACTAAAAAAAAAAAAAACAATTAAAATATAAAATAAAAATGTTTTTGGAATATGTTTGTTCTTTCTTTTTTTTTTTAAATTATATCTTGTGGAATATAAAAATATTTGTGAACAAAATGACATTAAAAAACATATTCATGTATGTGTTTTGTTAAACAATTTGTTTTCTATTATTAAATAAACGCTTGCTCTGTATGTATATGTGCTCTATCTATCTAAATTTTCTCTATATATATGTATGTGTACATACATGTATATATATATACATATATGTGTAATTTTATATGGGAATGTTTTCAATGTGGAACATATTCATTAAAAAAAAATAAAAAAAAAAAAAAAAAAAAAACTACCCAAAAAAAAAAAAAACAAAAATAAACTGTAAACATGTAGACTACACTTGCTCGTATACAAAAAGAAAGAGATACATTTTCGGATGAAATCGAAACAATGAAAGAACGTTTTGAATCCACACAGACTCTCTATCAGAAATCACAACGAGAAAAGGAAGTCTTACAAACTGAATATGAGGTACTTAAAGAACGATGGGATAAGACACATGGAATGCAGCAAAAATTACAGGTAAGTTTTTTTTTTTTTTTTGGTTGGTACCTTTTAACCCTGATTTTACTTGTTTTTTTTTTTAACCCCTTTAAAACTGACCTCTTAACTTTAACAGATATTAAAGAACGGCTTATTAAAAATATTCCTCAATTTGACTTTAACGATATTGTATTGTAAATTTTATAATGTAAAAATTTTGAAAATATTTTTGATAAAACGTGAAAAAACGAAAATACGAGAAAAAAAAAAACGATAAACAGAGAAAAGAATGTTATGTAGTGGATGTGAACTTAAATTATTAAATTTTAAAATATTAAAAAATTAAATTAGAATAGACATGAAAATTTTATAATTTCGAAAATATTAATTTATATTAATACGATATAACAGCATTGCAAAACGAAAATATAATCCAATTTTGGATAAAATCTTTGCAACACTGATATTATTTATAAAATTTTGAAAAAAAAAAAAATATAACACTACAAATCAGACACACATACATATACACATACATACATTACAATACTAAATTTAACTATAGGATGAAATAATTTTCATATATTGATTTTATTGTTTCAGCGAAAATTCTAAGTCAGAAAATTAAAACTTTAATTAAAATCTCTTATCTATATGCTATTATTTTGATTAATTATTTCTATTTATTTGTTCTCTATATGTTTTTCTATTTTAATTTAAATTAAAAACGTAAAGTTAAGTTAAAATTTAAAATCATTCTTCTTACTAATTAAATTAATTCAATTTCATTATTATTTCATTATTAATGCAATTCAATTATAATTATAGTATAAATATCCTGAATTCAAAATTGCAGTAATTAGTTTATACATTATAATGAGCTTAATTTCGATCTTTAAGTTATTTTTGCTTTAAGTAATGTAAGTTGAGCTAAGCTCATCTAATTTCCACAAAAGATTTATAATAGTAAATGCCGGAAACCTGTTTAAATTAAATGTGATTGAGGTAGTGGTTATAGTAGCTACTTTACAACTTTAAAAAGTTATTTTGCTATATATCTCAGAAATTATTATCATCTGTAATGTGATAATAAAAATTATTGAAATTCTTTGAATCCTTGTGATGGTTGCCATATGCGACTTCTATTCTTAAAATAGAATATCTTAGAATCTATTTAAGGTACAGTACAAAAAAATTTTGTATAAATAAATATGTATGGTGATATGGCAACTATTTTCGGTGAAAAATGTTGAGATATCATGAGCGCTTACGATAGCTGTCATACAACTTGAAAAGTTATTTCGTGGCATTCTCTCAAAAATGATTAGAGCTATAATATAGAAATTTCGTGCAAACAAGTATATTAAATGGGGGCTGTTATATGCGATAGCATTAGTTGAATACAACTCTTCAGTCGTACGGGTATCACAGAGTTGACAGAGTCAACTTTATCTATTCTCGTTTTTTTTTTTTTTCTAAATTTTAAAATTCATTTTATTTTGCCTAACTTTAGGCTTTATATTAAAACCGAAAGAATATTTAAATTTTTAATATTTATTTAAACAAAAACAAAAAAAAAAATAAACTATTAAAATGCAATATGACAAATAAACATTGTTAAACATAAAAACATGATATACAAATAAATACCCTAAACAAACAACAAACAAAAATTCGGTAAGTAAATAGACATATGCATATATATACATAAATATACATATATTTATATATATATAGTATAATATATGTATATGAATATAATATGTATATAGTTATATATGTTATATTATATGTATATATTATGTATAATATATTATATGTATATATAATAAAACTTTACACAAAAAGCTTAAAAAACAAGAGAAAAAAAAAACATTTTTTTTTTCCGTATGATGTCATTATTGTTGTGAATGCCTGCTTGTGCTTGTGACTGATGTTTGTTTTTTTTTTTATAAATAACTTTACCATTACTTATCAAAAACAAAAAAAAAAAAAAAACAAAAAGAACTTATGTTTATCGATATAATTATGAAGGATAATAACAAAAAAATTATGTTCATATATATTTTTGTACCGTTGTGATTGATGTGAGATAATAATTGGATATTTAATCTTTATATAATATACACACATTATTTATTTATATAATGCAAACTTATACTTAAATATTTAACTTTTATTTTCTAATAATTTTTATTTTGTTTCTTTTTGTTTTTTTTTTTTTTGGAAAAATTATCCTTAAACACAATATCCTTACGAAATAATTTTTTTGAATTAAAATTATAAAAAAAAAAATAATAATAAATTGGCCGAATTATTTTGAAAACACAAAATAAAACAAAAAAAACTAAAAATTATATTATGAAAAAAAAAAAATTATTTCCTATGAAAAAAAAAATTAAAAAAAAACTAAAAACAAAATATTATTTAAGTTATCATGTAGGATATGAAAATTTTACTGTGACTTTATAAGATTTTGTAGAAAATTAATTTTTTAATTTTAAGTTAAATTTGAAAACAAATAGGCAAATTAGAAAAATTCAATCTTTTAAATTATTATCTTAAATAATCATACTAAATTATAAGTACAATTTCTTTTTATATAGTATTAAGGTATAAAATATATTTTTTTTGTTATTTTAATCCTTAAAAAACCGATAACAAAGAAAAAATAAAAAAACAAGTTGATTTTGTATTGAATTGAAAAAAAAAATTAATTAAAAACAGCTTTTGTCAATTTATACTTAAAAAAATAAATAATTTAGGACTGAAAAACTGCTACGTAGCATTCTTTAATATTTTTGTAATATTGTAATTAAAAAAAATATTTTATAATTAAAATATATTTGAATTTTTTTTTTCTTTTTTTTTTTTTTTTTTGTTTTTACATTCCTCCTTTTTATAATATATATATATATATTTATCCTTGCTTATACAAAATCATATAATTAACTATACCTTACAAATAAAAACAAACTAAAAATTACAAAAAAAAAAAAAAAAATACAAAAATTCCAGATGGAAAGAGACGATGCTATTGCTGAAACAGAAATACTAAAGGATAAATTAGATAAATCATTGTATGCAACACAAAAACTTATTGATGAAAAGGATACATCAAATAAAGAATTTGAAAAAATGCTTGAAAAATATGATCGCTGCCAGAATGAAATATATCGCCTTCAATCACGCTGTGATACTGCCGAAGCAGATCGTTCACGTCTTGAAGTTGAAGCTGAACGATCATCTCATGCAGCTACAAAAGCAAGAGAAGATCTAAGAAAATTACAAGAAGAATCTGGACGTTTACAAGAGGCATGTGATAGAGCTGCCTTACAATTAACTAGATCAAAAGAATTAGAAGAGAAAGCACGTGAAGAATTAGATTTATTACGTGAACGTTATGATAAGATATCATCAGATTATCGTAAATTAAGTGGTGATAAGGAACATTTCTCAGAAGAATTGGAACGTGTTCAATATGAATTAGATCGGGCACATAATGCAAATACAAAATCAAATGCTGCATTAGATGCTGCACAAGAAGAAGCTGCCCATTATAAGGTTGAATTAGAGAAAATGCGTGAAAGATATGATAAAAGTCAAAGTGAAATTAGACGTTTACAAGATACTGAAACATATGGCAGAGAGATACGTCGCCTTAAAGATGAAAATGAAAAGGTACGTGAACGTTTGGATAGAACAGTTATGGAAATGGAAACAATACGTGGTAAAGCTGAACATGATGCTGAACAATTTGAAAAACAAAAAGATAAATTCCATCAACGCGAAATTGAAATACAAAATTATGAATCAAAATTACATGAGGCAACCTTACAACTTGAATTGGCCAAACAAGAAACCGCCAAAGTTATTGCTGGACAGGAAAAACAACGCAATGAACTTGAGCGAGCTCATATTGAATGCGAAAAAGTTCGTGATAAACATGAGAAATTGCTTAAGGAAGTGGATAGGCTTCGTGAGCAGGTCAAAGAACACTCTGCTATCGGTATTAAACCAGCGGCTAGTCCGGGTGCCGGTCTCGACAAACCTAGTGATAGCAAAGAGATCGACCGTTTACGCGATCGTTTAGAAAAGGCATTACAAATGCGAGATGCAACCGAATTAGAAGCTGGCCGATTAGCAAAGGAACTGGAGAAAGCCCAAATGCATTTGACAAAGCAACAGGAAGCAAACGAATCGACACGTGTCGAATTCGAAAAAATGGCTGCCGAATTGACCCGTTTACACGAACGCCTTGAAAGAGCAGAAAGCGAAAAGGAACAATTACGTCAAATTGCTGCCAGTAAGGGCAACGGCGGTGGAGCAACACCAGCTCAAGTGGCACAATTCGAAAAAATTGTAATTAAATTAGAGTCAGATTGCAAACAATTACAACACGAACGTGATCAACTTATCTCGCAACTAGAAAAAAGTCAAGATATGTTGATGAACTTCCAAAAAGAATTGAATGCAGCTGAACAAGAATTACAAAGATTACGTGAAGAAAACCGCCGATTGCGAAACGGACAACCAGCTCAACAACCTTCACAAGAAACACAGCGTTTACAACAAGAAATTCAAGTTCTCAAGCAGCGATTACAAGAAGCTGGAAATGGAGGCCCAAGACCCGAAGAGCTTGAACAATGGCGAAAGGTCATTGAATCTGAGAAAAATAGAGCCGATCAAGCTGAGAAAGCTGCAGCAGAACTACTTAAGAGAGTGCAGGTAAACAAAATTAATTTTTTATTTATTGCAATCTTTTTTTAATCACCATGCCTTTAGACCATGGAGAAACAAATTCAGCAACAAGTTACACAAATGCAAACAATGCAAAAACAAATTCAACAAGCCCAACAACAAACCACTGCTCAAGGTCAAGAAGTTAACAAAGATATTGAAAAACTTCGCGTTGAACTACAAAATGCAGTTACAGAGAGGGATCGATTCCAAAATCAACTTGAACTTTTGGTTCAAGAACTTGAAAAGAGTCAGGTAAACTAAATTGTTTGGAATTATTAACGCAATAAATTGTGAAAAAATACTTACATTTCTTCTATATACATATTTTTACATTATATTTTAGCTTGATCTTTCTGAAGCTACAAATAAACTTCAAGCCTCAACTCAACAACAACAGCAATTACAACAACAATTGCAACAACTGCAACAAGCCCAAGCTCAAGGTCAAGCTGCTGTTGATGATGTACAACGCCAACAATTAGAAGCCCAAATGAAACAGATTGAAGAAGCTCATAAACAAATTGAAGCTCAGGCTAAATCAATTGAAGGACAGGCCAAGACTATTGAAAGCGAGCGTAAGCTGCTTGAAGATCAAAGAAAGTCTATTGAAGCTAAACGCAAAGAATTGGATGAAAAGGAAGCCAAATTAACTGATTTCAATCAGCAACTAAATGTTAGAAAAGAACAAATGGATCAATTAGAACAACAAATGCAACAAGCTGGAGGAACAGCGGCTGCAGCTGGAGAGCTTAATAAACAATTAGTTGATTTACAAAATCAATATCAAGCGTTAGTTTCGCTAAATTTAAATAAAATTCGAAAATTTATGTGAAAATGTTTTTTTTCTATTTCAGAGTCGTAAAAGAATTAAATGAACACAAGGAAAATTTGCAAAAAGCTCAAACCGAAACAGAAAGACTTTTACAATTGGTTGCAATGTCTCAGGAAGAACAAAATGCGAAGGAAAAGGATATCAAAGATTTGCAACAGTACGTACATATAAAAATTGTTTTAATATTTTTAATTAATATTCTTGTAAAACCTTTTTCTTGTAATATTAAAAATTTCAGAGCCTTAAAGAATGCTCAAGCCAAATTGAAGCAAGCCCAACAACAGCAACAGCAAGATGTAAGAACATTTTTAATATATTTTCAAAACATAGGTATTCATTAATTTAATATGCTTGTTTTAACTATTTTAGGCTGGACCCGCTGGCTTCCTCAAGAGCTTCTTCTAAATTTATACCAATTCTAATTTAATAATGTTATTAAATTTTCTGTAGATATTCATTATAGTAGTTATTTAAAGAAATATAAAAAGAAAAATGAGAAATAAATTGTCAAAGAAGAAGAACACCTGCAATACAATAAAAAGGAAAACAGAAAATATTAATTGAATAACAACTAAAAATCAGAATGGTGCAAATTTCTTAAAAATTAGACTAAAAAAAAAATTTAAACCAGACATACTAGAATATTGCCAATAATATCGAATTGGAACCGTTTTAATTGCTGCATTAATTACGATATTTGAAAATTTAACAATTCCTATATTAATCAATTTGTTATTAAATTTTTGAAAGCTATAGAAAAACACTTCCCAAATAATTTGGTAAGTCTGTAATTGCTTTATTATACTCTAGATTGTTCTAAATATATTCAACATTATATGTGTAATCAAAATTTTAATTAAATATTAAAAACACTTACTTATCGGTTTCCTTCCAAAATTATTCCTCTTCAATGTTAAATGCTCTTTTTGAAAATTTTATAATAAATTCTTTTTATTAAGAAATTTTACAGAAATTTATATTGTTCACTTATGTGATTATGTGTTCATCTTTTTCCATTCCAAAATTCATTATTTTTGCTATTCAATTTATGATAAAATAATATTCACTTAAAATTCTAAAATAAAAAAAAGTAAATTGATTTTAAATTTGAATTCTTATACATTATTTTTAGGGTTGATTCAATATATTAAATTCAATTATAATAATAACACTATCAAAATTTATTCATGAATTTTATCTGAGTATTTTTTTTAACGCAAAATCCATGTACAATATTTGATTTTAAACCCATTAATAATATAATACATAAACCACATAAATAATTATTTATAATTTGATTATAAACCACATATACAATTATACTAAAAACTAAAAATAATTCATCGGTATTCTATTTTATTTTTAGCTTTCAAGATTATTTTCAAAGATAAAAATTAGCTTCAAAAAATAATAATATGAAATAATCGAAAAAATATAATTTAGTTTGTTAACTACAAAAACAAAACATAACAGATAGATCTATGTATACCAACAGAATGTTGATCATCATTATCATAATAAAAGGTGCAATCATGCATGGAAATAAACCCAAATTCTAAAAAGCAAAAAATAAATCAATATTAATTTTTTGTATATAGAAATAAATAATTAATATAAATAAAAAAATAATTAACAAGAAAATTGAAATGACGATAAAGAAGCACAAAAATTGTAAATGATTATTATATCAATATACTATTATAAAAATTAAAATATTTTTTTGAGAATTACTCTAAATTTTAAGGTAAATATAACAATAATAATTTGTTAATTTTCTATTTTAAATTTTAACTTTAAAAATTATCTCAAAACTAATTTGTCTTAAATTATATAAATTTTATTTGATTTTAAAAATTATTTCTATTCAAATTATATTAGTAAATTAAATCTTTTAAACATATGTTGTTTTTTTTTATATTTTTTAGCAATGTTCAAAAACATTTCTACCTTTTTGATTTTAATACACTTGGATAAGGAATCATAAAATTTTAGAATTATTTGGCTGGGAGTGAACAATCTATAAATAGAATATGAAGCTTTATTAAAAAAAAAAATAAACATTACCATTACACATTATAAATATATTTGCAATAAAAATTTGTTAAATTAAAATATGCTGGAAAATTAAAAAAAAAAATAAAATATAGAAAATGATGATTGAAGAAAAAACAAAGCACTGATTAACACAAAATAATTTTCGATCATTACATTATGTACATACGTTATACATATTATTATATACAACAAAAAATTTTATTAATTACCTAGTAAAAAAAGTAATTTCTTTTGTTTTTAGTTTTTTTATTGTATCAAAAATCTACAATTTCAATTTATTCTCCAATTTCAATTATTCTTATCCAACATTTCTATTTTTTTTTTTTATTTAATGTCTTATATTCCCTAAATATGGAATTGAATAGTTTCTTCAATATTTTATTTAAATAAATACATATATTATTTTTTTTTCGTATTATTTGTTCTTTTAATTTAGTAAATACTTGATTTTGTATTTGTGTAAAATTTAAGTAAAAAAAAAAATCAAATAAAAAAAATCAGATAAAATATATTTAGATAAAAATAAAAATTAATTAACATAAAAATTAAATATTATGTATAAAATTATAGAAAAACTTATAGATGAAATGTAATTAAATATTTAAATTTATTATTTTAATCGTAGCTTAATTTTAAAAAAGTAAATTGAAATTGAAAAGCAAGAAAAAGAGACAAAATATTTTGAAAAAAAATTAAAGAAAATTACAATAGTAATTAAACTATATTATAAATATAAATATATAAAAAAAAATTTAAATCACTGCCAGTAATCGCATGAACAACAAAAAAAAAAAAATTATAAATAAAAAACAAAAAAACAAGTAACAACACTGCTATTCATTTGAATTGCTATTTTGTGCAGTATAATCTAGCAGATTTCATAAAATTAAATCAGATTTAAAAATTAAAAACAAATCTAATTCTACTTTATTTTATAAAATTTTTTTAAATTTTTTTCTTACTGTTTTTGATTTTATTGTATCTTTTGTTATCAGTAACAAAAGAAATGATAGAAAATTGTTCAATACCAACGCAGTGTGTTTTATTTATTAATTTCTTAATTAATATTATTTTAATTACATTTCTTTTCAAAAATAATTTTATTCACAAAATAAATGTTTAAACAATCAATAAATATTTAAAAACAAAACAAACAAAAATGTTACAAATTTATATATAATATAAAAAAAAAAAAAACAAATCATATCATTTGCATATTAACTTTAAAAAACAGAAGTATAAAAAGAATGTTTTAGATGGAAAAGTGAAAAATTAGAGAAAAATTTTATATTAATAAAATAAATAATAAAACAAAATGTATAGTTAAATATTTTATTAAATTAAAAAAAAAAACAAAACAAAACAAATGCAATATCTTTAGATCAAATAACAAAATTTTTTTCATATACAATGTATGTATATAATTTAAATTTCTTAAAAAAGAATTTAAATATTTAAAATTATTTTAAAATATAATAATTTTTACCAATAAAATATTTAATATTAGTAAATAAAATATTATTTGTTCTTTTATCTGCTCGTTATAAAAAAAAAACTGAATAGTTTTTTAATAAAAATACTAAATTTGTATTTTTTATTCAAATTATTTTATCATGTTTTTATACATCTTCAAAAACAAAAATATCCTTATTTAATTTTAACAAATCAAAACAATAAATTATTTTAAATATTGGAGTAACTAATTGATTAATTTAGTAGTTTTTAATTATTTAAAAGAACATTCAATTTTCCCAATTTAATTTCGTTATTTAAACGAATATTATCAAAAATAACCTTCAGTATATATACGAGCAATTATTTAATTTATTTCATTGAGATATTTTACCTTATCAAAGCTATTACAAAAAATTTTAAAGTTACAATTTCTTATTTACACCATATTTATATAAAGTTTTTAAAAACAAATACCAAAAAAAAAAAACAAACTACAAAAATATATACATACATACTAAATATATTTGAAATTAAAATAAAAATACAAAAATTTGTATATATAAAATATAATAGAACAAATAAATATGAAAAAATATTAAAAGTATAAACAATTGGTAATGAAAGTGTTTAGATAGTAAGTGTGATACAAAAAAAAAATACATAGTATAAATATTATACAATTACAAGAAAAAAAAAAAAACATAATATATGATACCTAAATTCTAATGTTTTACTAAATTATAAAAAAAAGCATTATATTCTTATTAAAAAGCAAATGTTTTGGCAGCCATTTAAATATATGAAAAATCAATCTATAATAAAATAATACAATAATAGTTAGAATAAACACAAAACTGTCAAAAAAAATTATAAAATTTCTTTTGTTAATTTTGCCTATTCGTCTATATATATTTTCAAGCAAAAATTAGAAACATTAATCAAAATAACAAAATTAAAACACAATCTCCTCACAAAAACAAAACAAAAAAAAAAAAAAACACTATAAAATAAATCAACACGTAACAAAATAAAATTCAATTCTAAAAAACAAAAAAATATAAACTTATACATTAAGTAAAGAAAAAATTTTATTCACCGATACATACAAAAACTTAAAATACATATAAATAATAATTAAAAAAAAAATATAATTTTATTTTTATTTACAATATAAATGCTACAAATATGTTATTGAAATAATAAATAAATCATAATGTATTTATTATTAAAATACAAAAAAGATATAATATAAATAATCTGTATAATATGCATGGTACAATAACAAGATAATAAAATATGAAACTACAAAAAATTATATAAGAATTTCAAAATAAATAATAAAACTAAAATTAAAAAGGCAAAAACCTAACTTCAAATTCAAAACAAAATTTTTAAATAATGCTTAATCTTGAAAATAAAGATCCTTGAATATAAAATCACAAGAATACATTAATGCATAGATAGTTGAAAATGAGAAAACGAGTAAAGAGAATGAGTATAATTAAAGAAAAATTTTAATTATCGGGAAATTGGAAAACATTTATATAATTACATATAATACATATAACATGCTTTTAATTTATACAAAGAAAAACTATACATAATTATTTTATTTTATTCTAAATAAAATTAATTTCGAACTAATTTCAATTTACATACTGGAGGCATACACACTTCAAAATTTACTAATTATATAAAAAATCCCTTAAGCACTTATACTCTAACATATTTTTACAACAAAAATCACATTAAATTATAATTTTAAAAGTTAATGGCAATTGCAATATTACAAAATTGAATTTGACATCATGTCTCTGCAATAATACAAAACAGAATTAAATTTAAATTTATAGTAATCTATGTTGCATTTAGATTTTTGCAAAAATATTTACAATTATTCTTAATTCAAAACGTTAAAACTTAATAAATTTTCTGTAACATACAATTTATAAAACTATAATTTTTCCAAAAAATTATAAAAAAAAGTTATACATTATATGCTTACATTATAATTTTTTCTTGTTCAATAACTATAAATTTAATTTTAGACTTCTTCTATAACTACAAATTTGATTTTAAAAAAATTTCTAACCTTATCTAAGGCATAATTTATACGCAAAATTTTTAAATTAAAATTAAAAAATAAATTTATTATAAATTTTTTTTTTTTTAATTTATTTCATAAAACAATGTCGGCATGATTGTGGATATAGTTTGGTATAGATTTGTTTTTTTTGTCTTCAATTAATTATTTCTCTTTATACCAATTTGGTATAATTAGCCGTTATAAATTTTATTATTATATTTTAAATAAATTAAATTATATATTAATAAATACTATTTCTATATACTCAGCCTCCAAACTTAAATAATGAAAAATAGTAATAAATTAAAAAAAAGTAATAAATTTTCAAATTCATCGATATTAATGTGGCAATATTATAAAATATATTGACTTAAATTTATATATTATTACATAAAATTTACATAATTTCTTTGTAGACAATAAAATATATTAATGTATAAAAAAAAAAAAAAAACAAAATGATAGTATATACTAAATATATTACTTATATAAATAATGAAACCAATTTTATTAAATTAAAAAATATTCTGAAAAATTCTAATTAATATTTTTTTTTTCAATTCAATTTTTTTCTTCAATTTTCTTCAAATATTTTTTTTTCTGCAATTCAATTTCTTCTTTTTCAATTTAAATAAAATTTTTTTTATTAGTTCTTTTTATAATTGTAATATTGAAATTATAATATTACAACAATAGTTTCATTGTCATATATAACGTTCAGTTTTAAACATTTTATTTAAACGCAATAATAAAATAATTACGATTCGAATGTTATACCCTACCAACTGATATATAGCTTTTATATTATTAAAATTGCCACTTGTGATATTGAAACTATTTATTTATAATAAAATTTACAAAGTTCGTATATAGTTTCACTGTGATATCATATTTTATAAAAGCTATTCAAATATTAAAAAAAAACAATGTTTTATCAAAATTATAAAGAATCGTATCAATATATATATTAAAATTTGAACAAGCGTTTAAAGTAAAAAACTAGTTTTTTTTCTGCCGCGAATTCGCTGCCATATTTGCGTTATAAATATAATTGGTTTTTGAAACTAAAACTTTTATTAAAAAAATAACAAAGAAAAAAATGATATTTCTAAAAATTTCTTTTAAAATCTGCCGTATTTATTATTAATATTTTATTGTTTATTAAAAAAAAAAACAATTCAATTTATATTATATACAAAACTAATAAAAAGTAAAAACATATATTTATATTATATTTATCAAAATAAAAATTTAAAAGATGAAAAAAAAAACATGTTATTTAGATAGAAAAAGTTTTTAAATATACCTTAACTTATAAAATTCACAATATATAATATGATCCAGTCCCTTTTTACAATATATTTAAAATATAATAATAAAAAAAAAGTTTAATGAAAATGTATACATTTAAAAAAAATTATTATAAAAAAATACACTATATTTGAAAGATTAAAAACAAATTATACGTGAATGTTATATTGAATTAAAATATAACAAAAAAAAAATATACATATATAACAACATTATGCATATACATATAAGTATATAGTATAAACTTTAAAAATTTTTTTCAAAAAATAAATTAAAATGAATTTAAAAACAAACAGAAAAAAAATTTAAATAGAATAAAGTTTTGCGTTTGAATAAAAATACTATAATTAAATAAGCAATAATAATATTAAAAAAGTTCAATATATATATGCATATAACAAATATGTATATATGTGATTCTATTACTATAAATGTAAATTTTTTAAAATAACATACATAATATTATATTAAATAAATTTAATCCTAAATCATGCTGAAATTATTTATTAATTCTCTTTAAAGTTCTTATCACTTTTCACACTCTATATAAATATAAATTATAATACTCGTCTTTTTTTCTTAAAATATTTTTACCGAAATTACATAATTATTATAGAAATTTGAAGTAAATTTCACTGGAAATAAACAACTAATTCAATGCTTATATATTTAGTGAATATTATTCAAATTGAATCATAATCAAAATATATTTTGCCTATATATAATTTCCAATTTCTTGACAAACTAAGGCCCTTAGTTATAAATTTTTATTATTTATTGATAATACAATCAGAATCAACCTTATATAAAAAAAATATATTTTATTTGTGATTTTTTGATTCAATTTTAAATTTTGATTCAATTAAGATTTTAATTGAATGATTTTCAAAAATGATAAAATTGTCACAACTATATTACTTAAAGTTTCCAGTGAAAAATTTCAATTTCTCATATTGATTAAAAAACAAATAAGGAAAACTAAAATCCAAAAAAAAAAAAAATCAAACAAACAATCACATACCGACATATTAATTGTAAATAAAATATAAATTATATAAAACATGACAAAACAAACTAAAACTTTTACACTATACTCTCATCAATTATGTTTGAAAACAATCAAGTTATACGTGATTAAAATAATTAATTTTTTTAAATAAAAAATTATGTAAAAAAAAATGAAACTAAAAAAAAAAAGAATCCATTTCCCACCTTTAAATTCATTTCAAAATATACAAAAAGAAAAAAAAAAAGCTATAACGTCTACTATCCAAAGTAGAACAAAAAAAAAAAAGAAATAAAAACAAAACCACGAATATAAAAAAAACCGGGAGAAAATATTAAAAAAATAAAAAAATGTATAAAATTGTATATTTACTCGTTTACTATATTAATAATATATTTATATTAAAATAGAAAAAATTAATTATTATTAACTTTAATAAAAAATTAAAAAAAAAATAACATTCAAATAAAAATAATAATTGGTTAATTATAGTTAAATAATTGATTAAATAAATAACTTTAAATATATAAATAAAAATAAAACTTTGTACACAAAATAAAAGAAAAATTTAGAAAATCGTAACAAATTTAAATTAAATAACAATTGTATGACCAATATCATATAGGACACAAAAAAAAAATTTAAAAACAAATGAATTAAATAAAAAAAAAATATTATAATTGAATAATCGTATATGTACATATATGTTTAAATACATGATCTGTATAATTTCAAAATATTGTAATAAGTTATATAACAAATGCTATAAATTTAAATTAAAAATTAATTTTATTTATTATGTAAATTAATACAATATGTATGGGCGTGAAATGTTAACATAATGCATGCTTGTTATAGAATAAACCACAATAAATATCATATAATACTTTATATAAACTATATATATACATAAACTTATTTAAGTGTATATATATTTATGTTATATATATATACTTATTGAATAAATAAAACAAAATTAATTAATATTATAAAGAGTTTTGAGGTACAGCTCCTAGTTAAAAAAAAAATTCTTAAATAAATTATGTATTGTAAAAAGATTATATTAACATTAAATATATAATACAATTATAGTATATGTATAATGAAAAACTAAATTGAATATATAAGAAAAAAAAAAACGCTCTTCACTTTAACTTAAAATTAAAAGAAAACGTATTAAGGCTTTAATATTAACTACAAATATGAATATATATATATATATGTGTATATACATATATACTTAATATATTACATATTTAAATTCTTAAATTAACAAAATATTTTTAGAATTAAAAATAAAAACATTTCAGTTACTTTAGATCAATGTACATTCATTTCTATATTAAAAATTCATTATTTCTCGATGTTTCTATATTACATATAAAACTATTTAATTAAAATGTAAAATAACTTTCATATAAAATTTTATTTCATTCAAGAACTCTATATATTATTCATACTTCAAGTAATTTCTTCAAAAATAACAAACATACAAAAAAAAAACAAAAAAAAAAATACTTAAATTAGAAAAAAAAAGGAAATTATGTATTTCAATTATAGCCTTACCATAAAAATCTTTTTTATTTCACTTAAATCTTTTACGAAAAATAAAGATATGATCTTTCTCCCTCTTTTAGAGAAATAGTTAGGTAACCTACCTACCCCTAATTATCCATGAATCCCTTTTAATTGCAGAAACAGCTTTTCTGTCTACTACTCGAGCAGTTCTTTTAAAATGGAAATTTCTTATTGAAAACAGATAGCATACCACTCAAAATTATATATTCTAGTGCATCTATTATTTCTTTTCCTTGATAAAACTAAAAATATTAAAAATTACCGAGTTAGCTATTATTGTTATTTTTCATATTATACATAAAACAATAAATAATTAAAAATAAATATCCTTCATTTTAAGATATCAATAATAATAGTTTTGATTTATAATAAAAAGAGAAAAAAAAATACTTATAGTTAAATGTATATTTATTATTAAATAATATAAAAAAATTAAAATATATAATTATTTGTAATTTTATTTGTTATTGAATACAAAAAGGAAAAAATATAATTGTAAGAAAAAGAATAATTAAAAAAACAAAAAAAAAAAAAAAAATAAACATTGACAAAAATGTTAAACTTTGCAAATATAATAACAAAAAAAAATAATAATTATAATAAAAACAACAAAATTAAATACAAAAAAAAAGGTTTAGATTAAATTATTATTACATTAGAAAATAAATATTACATAATTATATCAAATATAATAAAGCATAAGAAAAACAACAATTAAATAAAAACAAAAATTACAAATGAATTGAAACTACATTATATGGTTATATTTATATACATACTGTCTAAAAATTTAAAATAATTTTTATTTATAAATACAATACTTATTACGTACATATATATTCTTTAAAATATTGAAACTTCTTGTTACTTTGCATATTTAATTAAATTATTCTGAATCCTTCGCATTAACTAATTGTAAGCAGAATTTTCGATCTATACCTCATATGTCTAACATTTATCAAGGTAGACATCTACAAGTATTATAAGTGTGCAACTTCCAAAAGTAACATTCATTAATTTGATTCCTAATCTAATAATTTAGAATGTTGATTAATCTTATTTTATAGTAACACTTAAATTTCGAAAAAGTTTTAACAAGTAAACATAACAAGTTTTTCGGGAGTTTTTTTGTACAGTATGTAAATACATATACATAATACTTATGCACGTATATCTATGATCCCATTAAAGTTTGCTGTTATATTCACTAATACAATTCCGAGAAGACACTAAAATACTTATTAAAAGAAATATTAAATACTACATACTTACATATTTTTTTCTGTATTTTTTTCTAAGTGCATAAATTGGTCGTACTTCAATAACTGGGTAGGTAGCCTACATACCTATCTAGTTCTACTGATTTCCTTCTTATTTTAAATATTTTGGAACCTCTATATAAATATTCTGCTTATAAATTTCATTTTGTTTAATTTCTGCAAAAAAATTGCTAATAAATTATCAAACACAAATGCAAAACATAATGTGGAGTAAACTAACAAAAGCACTGGGATATTGGTAAGCGTTTCCCGCTTAAAAACAATATCCATATACATAATATTATGTAAATATACATTTGTGTTATCCAAAACCCGTAAACAATTTTAAACAGTACATTAAACACAGTATGTTTATATAACCATAATGTTAAAAATTACATACATACTATAACACTAAAATTAAAAACGTTCTATTTTTTATTATATTTAGACTTAAATTAATTTTCATTTTATCTTTAAATTTAATTTTATTAAAAAAGTTATTGAAACTATTAATTGTTAATTTTTTATATTGTTATTCTGTTCGAAACAAAAAAAAAAGGCAAAAGAAAAAAAAACAAATGTTTTTTTTTTGGAATTATAAAAAAATTTAAGAGTTGACAGAACTAAAATCAAAAATAATCTTTTGACAAAAATGCATATATGGACAAAAAAATAATATTACTAAACATATTATTATAAAACAAAAAGTAAAATTAAAACTGAAAATAATTAAAATTTGATTAAATTTACATTAAAGTACTCAAAAGCAAGGAAAAAAAAACTTAACAAAACATAAAAATTTCTTATAAGTGTCAATATTATGTCAAGTTGAAAAAAACTGCCTATAAAAAATTTAAACTTGAAGAAAAAAAATAATTCAAATAAAAAAAAATAAAAAAATTGATTAATATTACTTACAGTCGTTTTATTTTCAAAAATTTATTAAAAACTTTTGCTGTTTCATTTTTTTTGGAACCTCAATTGAATCAATTCCAATGGCGATTTTACTTTACTGTTTTTTAATCGTTTTCAGTTTCTAGATGGTTTCTAGTTCAAAAATGTACGTTTAATATGACACGGGTGGTTTTACACAAACTAGCACTAAGAGTTTGGTAAGCGTTCGTATAATTTGTTTGATAGATAAAATATAACAGTGCCACCTTAAACTCTGATTACTAATTCTCTTTAAACTTTTTATTCTTCTTAGGCAACGTTTATATGTCAATCAAAGATTGACAATCATTATTAAGATTGATGAAGATTGATGAGAATTTACGCTTATATTGCAATCAATCTTTGTCAATTTTTCTATATGTCCTTTAAATTTAAAAATTTAAAAAAATGCCACTCACCTATCAAAATAATGACAAATCGCAAAAAAGAAAAAACATTAAGGCAGCTGATTATATGTTTACGCCATTATTTATTTTATTGCTGTCAAAAAATGATTGACGAAAATAGAAGCACTTTTTTTTTTTTTTCGTCGATCAAAATTTAGACAAAATTGATTGATTGATGGAGTTTACATGATCAATCATAAATAAAACATAACCCAACCTTCATTCTGATTGCTAAATTAATTCTCATTAATCTTTTTATTATTCTTATTTAGCTTGCACAGCTTATTCTGATCAAACAATGTTTTTTTAATGCACATAGTGTTGTTGGTAACATTTAATGAAGAATTGCTACAATTTACAAATATTAAAAGAAAGCTTTTTATTTTGCTGCGCCAAAAGTTTTTTCGCCATACTGTTTTAACTTTAAATTTATTAAATTTAATTTACATTCAGGAAGCTTCCTTTTTTGAGCTCAGAGGTTGAATCCGATCAAGTATCGAGTTGTTTTGAGTTGTTGGAGTGAGTGCTTATCAGATGGAAAAACAAATTTTAATTTTAATTTATATTTAAAAACGCAACAACATAATAGAGTTAATTCTGTTTTTTATTTAATTTTGAAATTAAAAATGTCAAAATAGTATGAACAGAGTAAGGATAGAGTCAAATAGTATGAACACAGAGTGCGGAACCTGAGCCATGCTCTGATAAAAAAAAAGAACGAAATGAAAACGAATCTACTTTTTGACAAATTAAAGTTTGCTGTTGGGTGAAAAAAGAAAAAAGTCCTAAATAAAAATGCGTCTAATAAACAAAACTACCAAACAAACCAAATTTTCTTACCTGATTAATTTCAACATTTTATTTAGGGTTTAATTCACAATATACCCTAAAATTAAATTACGTACTCTCTGTTTTTAAAATATTGACTGTAAATAGCATGATGAAACAGTGTACAAGAAAGGTATCGAAATGTATCGAATCCAAAGGAATATATCAAATTCTAAAAAAAGCATCCCTCAAGTTTGTATGTTTTGACAGACAGAAGAATCAAGATTAGCAAATAACAAATTTGGAGAGTTATTTTAAAATTGCACTTTTATTTTGTGCAACACCACATAGAAAAATTTTGAAAGTTCATTAAAAAAAAATTTTTTTCTCCATCGAATTCGAAAGTATTTAGCTTTATTTTTGTAAATATTTTTTATGGCATTCAATAAACATTTTTTGATCAAATAAATAATTTTTATTTCTAAGTTTGAAAAGCAAATTGACATAAATGGAAGTTGTTTTTTCTTAAGATAAATATACAAGTTTTTTTTTACGGAAAAAAATGATAATTCGATTAAAAAATGAATTTGTTCAACACGTTATTCGGAAAAATTTCTAACTTTTTAAAGAATCTAACAAATCGTTCGTAGTATTTCAAACTATTTCAGATGGCATATTATTTTTTGAAAAAAGAGAACAAATTTGACATTTTGACATTTTTATTAAATGGTTTTGAAAAAAAACCTTGTGTATTTCCAATTTTTTAAATCAAATTTTCGAAAAAAAATAAATTCTTCGAAGTTTGTTTTATCTTGAAGAATGAAAATGTAATTCACATATAGAAAAACACACATATTTTTTCCAAAAATTTTTAAAGAACTCAATCATAAAATTCCGTGCAAATTTTATATTTGTCAAAACAAAACAATCAATAAAGTTGCAAATGTCATTTCTTCCTATAAGTAGGACACTCGATTGGCCCATACTTATACTCGCATTGTATGTATTTGGTCTCAGCGGACAAAGGCTTCCTGACGGTTGCGCTACAGTGTGAACATATCAAAGTTTCAAAATAATTTAATTTTTTTGGCATTTTGAGTGAAAAAACTGACAACCTACTTAAAACCTTGTTACATAAGTTCAATTTCATTTTGATTTGCAAAATATACATTATTTAATTAAAGGCTTTTAATGGAAAAATAGGCTTAATGGTTTTTCTGACCGTTAACCTAGACGTCAACTTAAGTAAACGTCACTGCTGACTAATAAAAATAATTCTTTTTGACGTAAGTAATGTTTACGTAAGATGGCGCGTGGAACGTTAAGTTGAATTAATAAGTTGACAATATTCTAGGTTGCAGGGACGGCGTTATTTGACTTTGACGTTTAGTTATTTTTTATTGTATTCAAAAAAAAAAAAAGAGAAAATATTGTGGTGTTGATTTTTCCATAAATAAATAATATAAAGTTTTTTCAATAAATAATATAAATTAAAAAATATACCAATAATTAGGTAACGAACACATTATTGATAAAATGGATTATAAAAAATCGCCAACTCGCAGACAAAAACGACAGAAAATTGAAGAGGTGAAAATTGGTTGTAAATTTTATTGATGATTATCGACGTACTTGTATTTTTATATATATGCATACCAAAATTGAATACGATTTAAATATAAAACAATTTTTTTGGAATTTTTAAGTAAATTTTATTTTTATTTTAGTCATATTGGGATTGCAGCGTATGTACATATCGAAATACAGCAGAGGCTTTTAAGTGTTTGATGTGCGATGTTCGAAAAGGTAAGAGGGCACCGACCTTATAATAGATTTTATTTTTTTTTCTTTTTCGTTTTTTGAAATTATGTGATCTCTTATATAGTGTAAGAAAAGCCTAAGTGAAATTTCAATAATTGAAAATATTTTTGCATAAGATTTTTGGTTCTGTTTTCGTTAACTCATATGATCATATTTTATATATGTACCAACATACATAAATAAAGAAAATAAGATTTGTTAATTTACATCCACACTTATAAAAAAAAAAGATTTTTGAGTTTTTGAAAAGAACAAAAACGGACGTAAAAAATAATATTGGTAAAATAATTTCGATTTACTAAACAATTTTTGTTTCATATAAAAAAAGAATGAAGTTCACAATAAGGTTTATGATTTTTATTTATTAATTAATTTGGACGCTGTCATTAAGAATGAGGAATACAATCGAAAAGCAAGTAATTTAAAATCCTTTTTAAGAATTCAAGTGTACAACGGAAAATTCTTTAATGGAAATTTATATAAAATTTTTAATGAATATTTTACAACAAAATAAAAAATATTTTTGTTTTTTGTATATGATATTATTTTAATAAATTTAAAATATTTTAAGGTACATCTACAAGAAAACCTCGACTTAATTCAGCTCTTGTAGCACAACAATCAGCTACATTACCAGCAACATCTGGCAGTACACCAAATGGTACTTTACCATCTGGTCATAGTAAATCATCATCATCATCAAGTTCTTCAAAATTATCATCTTCATCGTCATCTTCGTCTAGGCATAATAATAAATCAAAACATAAAAAATATCCTGCCCGTTTAAAAAATGTTGATCGTTCAACAGCACAAACACGTGAAGTAACAGTCAATTCAGTTACGGTTGTCATCACAGAATATAAACCGAAAACTATGGTTAATAGAAGGGAATCAAGTGAACAAAGTTTCAGTGAAAGTAATGATTCTAGAAGTTAAGTATAATCATAAAAATATTATTAAAATGCAAAAAAGAGCAAAGTGATTTCCAAAAATTATTCTTTACAAAAAAAAAAAAAAACAAAGTAAAAATTAATTTTTATAATATTTTCTTTTGAGAAGAAAAACAAAACAAAAAAAAAAAGAAACAAAGTAGAAACAAACAAATTAAAAATATAATTAACTATTTATGAAGAAAGGGAAGAAAATTTAATTAAGAGTCATTTAATACAAAAAGGATATTTTGTGTTAACTAACTTGCATTGATACATATGTATATTATTGTTTCTTCATATAAATAACAATATGTATATAAAACACGTTATATACACTGAAAATATAATAATATGTACATTTAATACATATTAGTGTATTTTTTATATATGCATATATCATGTGTATAAATTTTTAAATAAAATTTGGAAAATTTTTTTTTTTATTCTGTTGATAATTTAGGTAATTTTATAATTTTTTTTTTGTAAATTTATTTTAGAAAATTTAGTGCATTGATGCTGATATTATTTATTAAATAAGTCTTTTTTTTTTCTAATTATAAGATCTTAAATATAGTTTTCAGAAAAAAAAATTGTTTAATTTAAAATAAACTTCACCTTTTTCATTATTCTTTTATATCCGATATTTTGTTAAATCGTGTTAAGCAAATCGAATATGGTTTAAGATTCTTAAATCGAATTGTTTGAACTGTTTATTGATGAAATTAAAATGTAAAAGTTATAAATAAATTTAAGAATAATTTTATTTAAATGAATGTAATAATATTGACAATGGTATAATTATGTATATAAAATAAATATATATATATATGAATTTAATATATTATATAATTTTTTGTGTTGTGTATATAATTTTTAAATATGAGCGAAAGGGATTTTACTTTTGTAAAATGATAAGATGTAAAAATGTAATTATTTAATTGTATTTTGTATAGTACATTGTTTAAGATTTTGGCAGCTAAATAATTTATATTCTTTTTATAAAAAGAAAAAAAAAAATTAAAAATTTGTCTATTAAAACTACTCAAATGTTGACACAAAATTATGTTGATTTAATTATTATTTGTGGTATAAAATAAAAAAAAAAACGAATATAGGTTATAAAAAATTTATTATTTTCAATTTTAAAAACATTTGGATAAATTAAAATTTTTTTTTTTTTGTAACTCAAAATTATATTTTCTCAGTATTAAACAAATTGTAGCATGAAATTTTGTTTTTCAGTAGTAATTTTTATTTGGTCATATTTAATTCGGTTCTAAACTATAAAAAATGTTATAAAGGTTATCAGTGCTACTATAATAAGAACTATAAATAATTTGTTATATATTACAAATTTTTTCTATTAAAATACATTCGGATTGTTTTAAATTATTCACATTCAAACAAAAAGACTTAAGAAATTTAAACCAAATATTATATAATGTACTTTTATATCAGAAATTATATTATTTAACCATAAAAATTTTTTTTTAAATTCATTTAAATGTTCATTTGCAGCTGAAATAAAAACTATCTGTATTGTCTTATATATATATATATATATTATTATACAATTATTATTGCTGTATTTTTTTTACTTTATTATTTTTAAGTATGATTATGGTGTGATACATACATATATATTTAGATAAGAAAGAAAAAAAATAAAAAACAAAAAAAAACGAAAATTAACTATAGATTGAATACATTTTCACAAAGTCTTCAATGTTAAATATATTTAAATGAAAAAAAAAAAAACTAAAAATTATTCTGTACATCATTTATTTGTGTAAAATAAGAAAGAAACAAAAACAGAAAAACAAACAACACATTTATTACTAAGAAATATAAAAATTATTTTAAAAGATTTGAAATTAAATTAATGAAAAGAGTATAAAAATATTTATAAAAGATGGAAAAAATTTTTAAATTGAAAAATAAAAAATTAAATTTATTTTATGAAAACAAATTTCAGTTTTGAAAATGAAAGTTTAGAATTTTAAAATATTTCGTTTAAAATGAATTAAAAAAAAAGAAAGAATTTAAAAAAAAACGGATTGATTAGAAAAAATTTAAGGAAATTATTATTTTGTTCTTTTTTTATATTAAATCACTTTTAATATTAATATTAAATTTTCGTAATAATATTGAAATTCTTAAAAATGTTTTGAAAACATAAATTTTCAATTTATATGATGTAATGGCAGATTAGTAATTATATTTTGAATTAAAATAAGAAAAATTTGATATGTTGTAAAATGTAAATTTTTAAATTTTCTTAGGCCTGAATGTTCAGTACTTATGTTCGTTAATGCGCTTTTAATTCCTTAGGAAGTTAACTTATAATAACGCATGTCATAATTTCAAAAACAATTTAATTTATAGTTAAATTATAGTAAATTATGCATTCATTTTATTTGCAAGTATTGTGTATTTATTAGACAAAATTAATTTTTACAGTATGATAAATATTCTCTTTCCTATTTCTTAAGTAAATTTCATCACATGACGTCTTTAAGACGGATAAGTTTCAATTTTAATCCCTAAATTTAATGAATTCAAATTAAAGCGGAAATTATCATAATTTCCATATAATACGTATTGATTTATGTTACTTTTATATTAAAATTAAAAACATTTTTAAAATTAATTTTACTCTTTACATGCACATAAAATGAATATATTCAGTATATTTTCTCAAAATGTAAATTATAGGGACCTTATGCATTTGCATTCTTTCACCGTCTTTGCTTTATTTTGAAAATAAAAGGAAGTGTTAAAGAATCTGAAAAGAAAAGATGCTACAAAAATACATCTGATTAGAATTTATTACAAATTCAAGTTTTTCATATTTTATTTCATTTATATTATACTTTACAAAATTTAATTTAGAAATGTTTTTGTAAGAGAACGAACATTTTTATCCGTTAAATTGATGACTTTTCTTTAAACTTAAAGCAAGAATTCTGGGTTTTAGCAAAAATGTAAAAAAGAAATGTTGTAAGTAATTACTTTTGAGACTTCAATGTTTTCTTTTTTTTTTTTTATACATATATAATAATACTAATAAATGGTCCGTGTTCAAAATACTATGTATATCAAAGAAAATATGAATTATTTAAAGTAATTTTTGTAATACTTAAAATTTTTACTAATGAAAAAAGCTGGAAAAAATAAAGCTTCTTTTGATTATTGATAATTAGGATATGTACTATATATGTAATTAAATTATCCGAAAGTATAATTTATTAATATTAAAATTATTAAGGGCATAAAATATTTAAATTTTAATAAAAATAGTTTTTTCTATTTATTACTGTTAATATTGTTGTTGTTTCTGATTAAAAAAAAAATACTTTCTTTTTTCGTTCAATACTTCTTAGCATTAAAAAAAAAAAAAACAAAATAAAAGTAAGAAAAAACAAAAATGTGAATTGTAAGAAATTTTTTTTTTTTTTTGATTTAGTATGCTTAGCAATTAATTTTTACATAATGTATTTGAAGTTTATAATAATTATAATTTAATTAATTTAGATAATCAAAATTTTTGCGATTTGATGTCATTAGAAAACCCATTTAAATACAAACAATTTATTAATATAAGTTGCATGTGAATTATAAAAAACAAAAATTTAAATTTTACATATTTATATAATTATACATAATGTGAAACATATAAAGATTTTTTCAAAAATTTTTAAATTTTTAAATTATTAATTTTATTCATCTTGAATTTTATAATTTTGAAAATATTGTAACAATTAATAATTGGAAAATTTTTTACTTTAATTAAATAACCAGTAGAGTGAGATAAAATCGTAAGGAACAAATTAATAAAAACCTCCAATTATTATTATTTGGTCAAGATGTAAATTAATAATATTAATTATTTTTTAATTTTTTTTATTAAATTCAATTTAGAGTATTTTTCAATTACTATTATAGAAAAAATGCATGTATGTAAAACAAAATTAATTTCTTAAATTGAAATAATATTAAGAATATAAATTCAATTAAATTTAGAATCAATTAGAAAAATAATTTTGAAATTAAATTGTTTTAAAATTATTCTCTTACTAAAAATATAATTCAATATTGCAACATTTTAAATTATGAATGGGATATGATTTACAATGACATTTAAAAATATTTTGCAAAAAAATTTTTAATTTGATTATTGAATTCGACCCTCTTTAAATGGACTTTCTATTATAATTTACGTCTTATTTTTTACAATTAATATATTAAAAAAAGTCAAAGAACAACGAATCACAATTTCTATTCATGCAAACATAATAAGCATTTTATTTAGTTTAAAATCAAAGTAAAATAATTTTCATTTAATAATTGCGTTTTTTCCATTTATTTTGTAAAAACATCACTTCAACACCGAACCATTTTTTTAGCTAATTTTATTTTTTTTATTTAATTTTTTTATTTATATTAATTATTCAAATATAAAATAAATAAAATAGATTTGCAAATCCTATATTAACATTGAAAAAAATATTTATATATACATTTTTTTTTATTTTTTTTTTTTATTAATTTAAATTATTAAATAGTAATAATTTTTATTTAAATAAACAGAAAAAAGCGAAAAAAATAAAATTGAAAAAAAAAAAATAATTATTTAAATCAAAATATACTTATGTATTATAATTTTAGTTAAAAATTAAAGAAAAAAAAAAAAAGAGAAACAATTAAAAAACAAGAATTAGATTTAATTTTTTTTTTTAGAGAAAAAATAATTATAAACTAAAATACAAACAATACAAAAAAAAAATAGTATGAGGGTTAGTAATATATTTGTATGATTATTTAAAATAATAATTTTATATGTATACAAAAATATAAATAGAAAAAAAAAACAAAAAAAAAAAAACAATAAATATGAAAGAAAAAATTTATAATTTATACACCTTAATAAACTTAAAAAAGAAAACAAAAATAAAAAAAAAAATTTAATTATAACTGCCAATAAACTGGATTATGTTCATACTATTATTTAATCCTTTAATTATATTTTAAATTTTTTTAAAATATCTCAAGGAAATTTTACAATAATTCCATATAGTGATATAAATATTTTAAGGAGTTTATAACCTTTCCAAAATTATGGGTTCGGTTGTAAAGGGTTTCGAATGGTAAATGAATTACCAATTAAAATTGGAAATTAATTCGATTTCTATAAAACTCAATTAATACAATATTCTGCACATATTCTATGTGAAAATTTTCGATATTTCGGATTCATATTGAAATAATATATAAAAATCGCTATGCTCAAAAATTGCTTATTTTTGAATATCATAGCATTAGGATTATTAGTGTGTTTTTGATAATTCGATTATAATTTAAGGGCTTGGATTGCAATTTACTTGATAATTAAGTAGTGTATAGTACTGCCAGAAAAGCATGTACAAAAATTACAAAAAAAAAATTAAAAAAAATTCAATACTGACGGAATCAAAATTACATTCGACACTAATGGTGAATTCGAGAAAAAGTTAAAATATATATCGATTCTAATTGGATTTATTAACTAAAATTTTTAACATTAGATTTTGGGGTAAATTTAATTTCAGTATTTAACTATGATTTTTAATAATCTCTTACTGGTTTGTATTAAATAAATATTTTAAAACTTATTTTTATTAT